GTCCTGGGTCTTCCCCGGTGCCTCCTACCAGTGGGACATGCCCGGAACACCTCCCAAAAAACATCCAAAACAGCAGCAGCTCTACTTCGAGCTCCTCCCGTGTGACTGAGCTCCTCACCCTACCTCTAAGGGAGCGCCCAGCCACCCTGCGGAGCAAACTCATTTCACCCATTTGTATCTGCAATCTTGTCCTTTCGGTCATTACTCAGAGCTCATGACCATAGGTGAGGAGAGGAACGTAGATTGACGGTAAATCGAGAGGTTTGCCTTTTGGCTCAGCTCCCTCTTCACCTTAACAGTTTGATACAGCGACCGCATCCCTGCAGACGCTGTGAAAGGTCAAAACATTAAATAATGGTCAAAATCTAGACAGACACAAAAATTACAAGAACTAAATCATACCTGAAGGAGCAGTGCAAGAAGCCCCTTTAATATTGTCAACATAGAGCTTTTGGTCACTTATAAATGGAGATGTGATCAAGATCCAACAGATGAATGCTGTTGTTGTGTCCTTGGGCAGAACACTTAACCCATCCTGCCCACTGGTGTATGACTGTGTGAGATTCTTTATACGATGCTCAAAACTTTGATGATTCATTTCCTCACTTAATGCACTTGACAATTTTTATGAAACACCAACTGAATTGAAGTCTAGTCATTCTTACACAACAGGAGCGATCACCATTCAATAAACCACAGCTCAAGGTTATTACGAAAGTTAACAGAGAAAGTTTTAAAATCTTCAAATCTTGCCTTGACTTTTCTGACCTTCTGTTCAACACAAAGTTTTACAGTCTCTCACAGACGTTCTATTATAATTAGCCACGCTGATAATGAGCTGCTACGCCTGCTCCTGCCATTTTACAAATGCGCTGATGTTGCAGTTTTAAGCATCTCATTTTCTCGCATGTTATGTTTAATACTGTCATTATGCACCGTCATGGGTCCTTAGGGTGCTGCGTGTGTCCTCTGTATAGGGTGATCTGGAGCTGACGGGATGAGAATGTAATGAGGGGTGACCTTAGAGATGGCGGGTGTGCAGGGGGCAGATGGAGAATGGGTCTGATTATCGCTGCATTCATAAGGTAGACATACTATTTTCTTTATGGCATGAGAAAGGTGCTGTAGGTGTTGAATGATTCAGTAATTGCACACAAGTCATTATAATTATGCACTTATGAACTTGTCAAAATCCGCTGCTTCTGAACATGTAGGCATACTGTGTATAGCAAATGGAAAATTAGAATAAATGTGGTTAAGTTAATCTCTTATAATTTAACATTTTGCTTTAGTATTTATACTGACGTGTTCAGATTTATACTGTTGTTTATATTATGTACCTTATTTCACTTAACCATTCCTCACAGTTATGACTCATGCCTCTTTTCTCCTCGAAAGCCTCAACGTTGGGCTGTGTTGCTGTCTAATGCTTATGAACGGACTACACGTTTAGAAATAATCAGTTGTGACTTGGACTCGCGTCAGATTTGAGTCACTGTTTTTAGGGCTTGAGACTTGACTTGATAAAATGGACTAAGACTTGGGACTCAACTTAGACTTGAAGGTCAGTGACTTGGGGACTTGACTCGGACTTGGGGCCTGTGATTTGAGAAGACTGGGGAAGCACTTTTAAATCTGAATTCTTTCTATTCTGACCACAACCCACATGAAGATCTTGTCAAGACATTTAAAAAGGAAAAATTAACTAAATACATTTCTACAACTCTTATATACTCTATAAATACTCAAATATAAATATACTATGATTTTCTGATTTTATAAGTACAATTTATCTTAAAATTCATATAAGTTGCAAAAATCTAAGCTATATTTGGTACTTTGGTTTAAAAACTTTAAATAACTTGAAGCTCAATGCAGACGACTTGGACTTGACTTGGACTTTTGGGCCAGTGACTTGAGACTTGAATTGGACTTGCCTGTATTTGACTTGGGACTTGACTCAGACTTGAGGTCAAAGACTTGAGACTTACTTGAGACTTGCAAAACAACAACTTCGTCCCACCTCTGGAAATAATCATCTAAAGACAATTTTTATAAACTAAAATACTTTATGGTGAGACAAGGGGGAGGACAAATTTGTTAAATAAACAAACAATACATTTCAAACTGTCAAAATGACAGTATCAGTATAAACAAAGAAAAATGAGTGGGTAAAAAAAACAAAAAACCCAAAAAAACATTAGCTTGCAGAAATTTGCAAAGTCCCCATTTAGGGCTGTACAGTTTAAATTTAAAGCCATAGTACGTAACATTTTTGCCCAAAAATAAACAAATAAATAAACTGTTATTTTTTTATATATATTGTGGATGTTTTTTATTATACTGACAAACAAATAAAAAGATCCATCGTCATTGTGAGAGGACCTGCATCTCCCCAAGACAGACACTTATTTGGCCCAGAGGAGGGCCTCGTCCTGCTTGTTTCCATGGAAATGTTGCTTTTTCAGCAAGAGTCCAGAGTATGGCATAAAAGGTTTCATTTGAAACATAAAGTACATGAAGTGTTTTTCTTATAACTAAAAGATTCTTCATTACATAACCATGCACAAGGATCTAATCTGTTCTTAATGAACTTCCTGTTGATTGTTCAGATGGGATTCACATGACGCTGTATAAATGAAAGCAGAGGGGGACTTACATATTTACAGTTGGGCTGTAATAAAGTGATACAGGGGGCTGATTGGGCTGTGGGGACAATGTTATTCAAATGGGAGCGATTCCAAAATGTTAGCCTGATTCATCAGCGAGTTTCACTTCGTGGAAACCGTCTGACCTTGCAGCATTAGGATCCGTTCACTCAATGGTAGGCGGGAACTTTTTTTTATTTAACCAATGCACCACCAACGGGGCTAACTGGTATATTAAGTTTTCCCAAATCCCACAGAAACAAGGGCAATAACATCTTTCCCCTAAAATTCACCAAACATTTTCTTTGTTCTGGCTTTAAATTCTCGATCTCAGGAATTGTTGCCAACACAGAATGTATGGCTCTTCGCTGATTGGCTGGTGTCTGGACTCGTACTTCCGGGGCTCTTGCAAACCGTCTAGTAATGAAACTGAGTGGAGGCGGAGGCTACCAAAATGTCCCATTAATGACAAAAATATTAGTGTCATAGAATGTCAGCTTTGGTAGAATGACCCTTCACGTTATCCTGTTCAAAAAAGTCAGTGAAATATGGTGTTGTCATGGTGATGCAAGAAATCACCCATGTTATCCTAATGGCAAAATGTCCTAATTTTCTTACATTTTAAAGTAATCAAACAATGTATTAGTTTATTTTAGATTATTTTAGATTAGGTTATTAAACAAGTGGCACAGTATTTATAATATTTTAGACTCAGCTCTGGTCTCATAACCCAGATCAGTCTTTCATGGGCCCAAAACATTAAAAGCACATTGTAAATACTAACAGGTGTGTGCAAACCTCCTGACTACAAATGACTTTGATGCTGTGAATAAAAGCATGCATAATTCAGCGAGGGCACGTGTGGAGGATCTGGAGTCCCTTGGGGGCAGCTGGCTCAGGCTTTTGTCCGCCTTATCTCCACCGCGTGTAGGGCAATTAGAAGCGCGGGTCTCTCCATAATGATGATGTGAGACGACACAAGGTCAGAGTGTGCAGAGGGCAGTAAACACACAATCTTACAAGGTGAACATGGTGCCAACGCTGAGTTTAGGATTTCAAATCTAAATGAATGTGGTGGCAAAGTAACATCCTCCTCTCATAGTAAGAAAAATAAGTTTGGGCGTTATGGCCAAAATGTGCTTCCTCTTGTACTGATCAATCACGGTTTTCAATTTTCTTAAAGTGTAACTAAACATTTCAAATAGAGCTGGAACTGCAGTGCCTGGAGGACTAAAGGGAAGAGGAGGAGTAGTGTCTGGTGGACTAAAGGGGAAAGTGAGGACTAAAGGAGAGAGTGAGGAGGGGGAGGAGGGGTCTGGAGAAGTAAAGAGGAAAATGAGAGGGAGGAAAAACTAAAGGGAAGAATGAGAGGGGAGCAGGGGTGAGATCTGGAGGACTAAAGGGAAGAGGAGGAGTGGGGTCTGGTGGACTAAAGGGGAAAGTGAGGAGGAGGAGGGTTAGGGTATGTAGGACTAAAAGCGAAAGTGACGGGTGAGATATGGAGGACTAAAGGGGAGAGTGAGGGGGGAGCAGGGGCGAGGTCTGGTGCACTAAAGGGGAGAGTGAAGGGGGAGCTGGTGCAAGGTATGGTGGACTAAAGGGAAAAGTGAGGACTAAAGTGGAGAGTGGGGGGGAGCAGGGGCGAGGTCTGGTGGACTCAATGGGAAAGTGAGGACTAAAGGGGAAAGTGAGGGGAAGCAGGGGCAAGGTCTGATGGACTAAAGGGGAGAGTGAGGGGGGAGCAGGTGGAGTCTGGTGGACTAAAGGGGAAAGTGAAGACTAAAGGGGAGAGTGAGGGTGGAGCAGAGCCAAGGTCTGGAGGACTAAAGGGGAAAGTGAGGACTCAAGGGGAGAGTGAGGGGGAGCAGGTGGAGTCTGGTGGACTAACAGGGAGAGTGAGAACTAAAGGGGAGGGTGAGGGTGGAGCAGGGACGAGGTCTGGTGGACTAAAGGGGAGAGTGAGGACCAAAGGGCAGAGTGAGAGGGGAGCAGGGGTGGAGTCTGGTGGACTAAACAGGAAAGGGAGGAGCAGGAGTGATAGGGTTTGTAGGACTAAAAGCGACAGTGATGGGTGGGGTCTGGAGGACTAAAGGGGAGAGTGAGGCGGCAGTTTGCATGTTTTCAGTGTGTCTGGATGCAACCTAATGTGATAATCATTCAGCATTCCTAACAGTGAACCTAACTCAAGATCTAAAGATGGGTCCACTAACTAACTCAGAAAAGGTTGGGTATACCATTAATTAAAGAATGGGTCAAATGCAGAGGATCTTTTCATTTTCGGGACAATTAAAAAAAAAAAAAAAACCTTAATGTCAAAATGTACACTGACAATGTTTTGTTTTTGTCTTGCAGGAACGTGGGTGACATTTGGTGGACAGATCACAGATGAGGTATGACTTTACACTAATCGTTACATACAATTTCAGTTGATTTGATTTGATTTTATTAGACAAAAGGCTGTATTCACGCTTACCAGAAGACATTTGGAAACATGCAGATGACAACTTCAGGTGTATGTCACTTAGAGAACAATAAAATGTTTTTATTGAGTTAGACAAATTATAATACACAAATTAATAGGCAATTTATAAAAGGTAAAAAGAACGAATACAATGACATCTAGATGAAGAAACCCAGGCCATTTTCTCAGTTATTATTGCCAACAGAACCCAAACGTCTTCAGGTTTTGTGATGTAAGCGTGAATAGAGCCCATAATCTCATTTTCAACACAAATGTATTTAGTTTATTTAATATTATCATGTGGTTTTATCTTCTAATATAGAATAACACAATTCTCAAACCACTCAGCTAAGGCACATTTTTTATTAGTTTTTTTTTTTTTTTACTGTAGATATATATATTTTTAGTATCTATACTTGTTCAAATGAGTATCTAGATTTGATACTAGCTTTAAAATCTGGGTATAACAGGAGCTGGTTCAGACATGTGAGGTATATACTGAAATATTGTAAAGCAGTTTGAGCTGTTTGAACATGTACAAGTATTATTATCAATGGAGTAATATTTGACGTACATAATACATTCTACAATAATAACTGAGCACTTCACTCACCAGAAAGACTAAAGCACAGTTCAAGAGGATGAAGAAGAATTACAACAGCTCTAATAAAACATGACGTCACTTGAGTGCGTGTCATCCATCACACTTAAACACTGGAGACTTTGTAGAGTATAAAGATGAGAACATGAAACGCCTCCATCTTGTTCTGTGAAGGCAGATACAGCTTTTGGTGTATTTTAATAAGAGATCCCTCAAGAAAGTGAGAGGAAGAAAGTGATAAATATGTGAGAAGTGATAAATGTGCTCCAGTGTACAAAAGGTTATTCCAAGTACATGCTACTAAAAGTTGTTTTACTTCTTTCTTGCATTTTGGAAATACAGTAGTTAGGCTTATATAAGAAAATAACAGAAGCTTATTAGGTTGAATCAGTTTACCAACAATTTGTGGTTCAATTTCTGTTCCTACTGATCCTAATTTACAACATGTTTTGCCTGGTGATCTTCATACTGGGTAAGGAGTTTGAGTTAAGATGAATCATATCAGTAAAGCTCATATTATGATATTACTGTGCAGCATAATAAAATCATTACATATTTGTACATCAGTGGGACATTACAAAGTCTTAGCAGAGTCTAGGTTAGTGGGCACATACTTTACCACTATTCATTATGTGTTTGGTTAGTTTTCACATATTATTACATGCTGGTAAAATCATCTTTATCTCAGAACGTGAAAAGTGTTGTTTTACATAATGAGGTAAAATATTAGAAAATGTGGTTTTATTACATAATGTGGCTGTACATTAGCCTTATTCAACAGCTGGTTTCACTTCGTTAATTTAATCAGTCGCTGCTATTTGGTCGTGACATATGTAATGTGCCAAATCCCATAGGAAGAAGGGCAATAACATCTTTCCCCTTGATAAAATTTACCAAACATTCTCTTCCAGCTTTAAATCCTGGATCTTGGGAGTCGTTGCCAACACAGAAAGTTTGTCTTCATCTACATCCATCTCGACCACTTTGTTTACTGTTGTGCTGTATCACAAAAGGAACCCAGACTGGCACTTGAGCTTGAGTTTGGTGCGGGGTCTACAACTTTCGGGGCTTCTTGCAAACCGTCTAGTGTATTCCGATTCCTGACCTAGAGGCTGGAGAGAAATTAAATTGAGCAGAGGCACTAGGTGTCGCCTGCTTGGCTAGTTGTACATGCCACCACACTGCTAATCATTGCACTTCAAGTATGAGTTTGAAGAAGCTTTTCACTTTAATGGAGTTTGTCCTTCACTCATCTTTGCAGGTAATTCAACCAAGATCAGAAATGGCAGTTGCACTGTAGCAGAAATAAAGAAGCTAAAAATATATATATATTTTGGAGCTTTCAACCATTTTATGTCATTCATGCATGTTTGAGCAATCTTGCTATCTCTCCCGGGCTGTATTCTAACCTTCCTCACCCCATAAGCCTACGTCACCCATGCTGTTTTCCATAAATATGCAAAAGCATGATACAAAACAATGTACAACTTCACAAACCTGTTGTGATTGTAATGTGATAGCACTCTGAAGGGGGAATGACTTAGTGCAAGGAGCAAAGGAGTGGCACTAGTCCACTTCTGATTTTTCTGCAAAGACTAGTGTTAAACATCCCTGGCCTTGTGTAGTGATAACCTTGTGCGTCCATGCTGCTGGCTTTGTGACAGACTATTACCTCCTGAAGGCTTTCTCTGCCAGCAGCCCTATCCCCCCCTATCCCCTCCCCATCCCCCTCCTCCCATTCACTCATCTTTTATTAACGCTGTAATGGGCCACTTTGCACACATAAACTACGATCTCTAACACGACTTTTGGCTGTGCTGATGCAGTTGTATTTTGATGTTAGATACATAGAGAGAGGACAGAGGAGTTGTGTGTGTGTGTGTGTGTGTGTGTGTGTGTGTGTGTGTGCGTGCAGTCAGAGTGCCGGGGAGGGGAGGAGCTAAGGGGGGCTTTAAACTTATGTAACTCATGGTGCACTCTTTTGCATTGTTCCCTCGCTGATGCTGTTTGAGTTACACTCCGATACAAGTTTTTCAGATATCGAAAGGAGGAAGGGATTAAATCTCAGTGATTCCTTGTGGTTAAAGGATAGGGAAAGAATGATTTTCCCTCAAGTGGGATTATAAACTCCAATTTAGTTCTGTCCTCAACCCAAAACAGGTTTTGTAACAGATTAAATGTTTTACATTTAGATTGCAGACCGCGTGTGCCAGAGAGACGTTTGTCATTTACAAGACAGCAGATTAACCAACATTACAGCCAGCTTGGTTACATTTATGCACAAACCTTCTGTCATAGTCTGATCTCGTCCACTCTCAGAAGATGAACAGGGCTGGGCCTGGTTAATACACCTGGGAATTCCAGGTATTTGAATTTGAATTTATTTGTTTGGAGGATAAGGCCCTTGATATGTCTCGCCATCTAGTTTTTGTGTTCATAGTTACAACAGCAAAAAACAGATACAGTAGGGCAGACAGTAGGCTACATACATTCAAATAAACATCAAAACAACAAACACGCACACACACTTGACTGTAAGACACATAATAAATCAAATTTGAACAAAAACTAAGACAGAGTTCAAATATAGTCGCAAAATACAAGATGAACAACAAAATTCAACAAAATGATCAAAAACAATTACACAGGATATGTAAATATTGAACCAGAGCATTTTTAAATGAAGGGAAGAAGTTAATGCACTAATCAAGGTACCACAGTGGGACGCCTGTGGCAAAAACTGTCATTGTGTCATTGTGTCCCACATTGGTGCTGTGTCTGCGAGTGTTGGTGCTCGCAGAGGCTGATGGCACAGATTGGCGGCTTCACTTCCATCAGTCTGTCCCAGGACAGCCATGACTATCTCGCACGTACTGCCACCAAGTGTGAAGTGAATGAATAATACACAGACTTGAAAAGCGGCTAGAGCATCTGCAAAAGCTCTACACAAGACGATTTCATTATGACAAAGATATTAAAGAATCAAGTAGCATTTAAAAAACACATAAAATCGAGAGCAATGCATATGTATGGAAAAGGAAACTAAGATGTTGTGCATAATAGTGAAGATTTCTGTTTATAATTTATTAATAATTTTGTCTGAACTAAAATGATTTGAAATGTTTAGTAACTTTCAGTGTTGTTGTCTGGGAAAGGGAAAAAGGAGCAGATAACATAAGATTACTGTTCTTTCTGTCCTTTTCATAAATTTCTTGTGTTGTGATGTTGTGACATTGTTGATGTTGTTTCATATTTTATGAATAAAATAAATAAACAAATACATTACTATTATTTAAAACAAACAAACAAACAAAAAAACATAAAATTGGTTATACTTTATTTACATTTGAGTGAATTTGTTGTGTGTGTAGACTTTAAAAACACAGTGGAGTATTTCTAAATTAACAACAGATTATATCAAGAGCTGGTACGATACAAGACACAGGAAAGGATGGGAAAAAACAAATGCAGTTAATCCCACAGTGGACACACATAGAGCTCGCTGTGAGAGAGCCTCACTGGGCACAAACCTGCGGCAGCTCCAGCAGAGCGTTGGCATCTCGTGCTTTTGGGTTGAAAAGTCCCCGTTGTCCTCACGCCCAGGTCAATGTCAGAGTGAGTCCAGCCTGGAGACACTGTCCTCTGCTGGTCTGTCCTCATTAAGACCAGAGTTAGAATGAACCAGCTGTTATTGTCCGTGGACGTCTTTGTAAGGAGCGCTCTGATTTGCCACGAGTTTTTATGTGGTCAAGAAAACACTATTCGATGGGAAACAGATTATGTGTATTTTAAGCACTGGTATTTCAAGTCCACCCTCCTCCTCCATGTCACAGCACATACTTACAGTACATAATGTTTACTGGTATGGACACACAGGCCCAGCAATAGCAATTTGGGGACCCGCGACAAGAAGACATACATGGGTCCCCTTCTAATAGTAATTAATAGGCAGAGATTCCAATTCTGGGCCCCTAAGACTCTGAGGCCTAGAACAACAGACCCCTTTGTCCTCCCTGTCAACTCCGCTGTTGTCTACCAATAGTCTATGCTTTGGATTATGTCTATGAAACCAGGACACTGCTATAGAAACAGAAAGGAGGAACTAATACCGATGGTCACAAATAACAAAGAAGTTAATAAGAGGTCGTAGCTAATTAGAGAACGTACATTTGTAACATGTGGACTATGTACATTTTATGCATAATTTACCAGGGATTGAGGAGTAGGTCTAAATTCTATCAAATTTTCTGAAATATGGAAAAGAAAACCCCTCCAGATTTTTTATATGTTGTAGTAGACATATATGGCTACAGTTTTTCTATTAATGT